AAAAGGAGCCAAAGGAGGAGGACTAGCAGGAAAAGGCTCTGAGGACAGAACAGTTCTGAGATTTCAGCTAGGCTAATGGAGAGTCCTTGAGACTAACCTACCCTTCAGGGAGGTCCAAGGGACGGTAGGAGTGGCTGGGTTCTGATCCCTCCATAGAGCTCAGCAGTTGGCTAGGTTTGGGGGGATCCCGGGGGATAGATGTAGACAGAGCAGGTTGCAGCAGCTAGCACCCTAAAAACACACCCTGGATCTTCTCAGTGGTGCATCTTCATGGTGACCACAGGGAAAGAATTTAGAAATGTTCCTCTGGTGTTGCCCTTCCAGCCCTGGTAACAAATGGGCATTTTCAATTGCTCTTTGGAAATGAGACTCTGCTCTTGTTTACTCTGTGCTTGCCAGGCTTTTACTTGTCTTGGCACACATATGAAATGATAATGAATCAACAGCATGTTGTAGTAAATAGTGGAGACTGCTGTTGGAAGAGGCTCAGGCGCCTCTGTTATTCAGATGATTGATGGATTCACTGTCCCAAACCTCCTTCAGCCCATCTGAAGCACAGGGTAGGGAAGCAGTGAGCTAATCCATTGGTTACTTTGCAGAAGGAATTTCTCTCTGCAGTGATTTTTAACTGTGACTGTTCTTTAGAATCACATGGCAGGCTTTTAAAAAATAATAATTGTGCTGGCTCTCCACTGCAGACAATTCAAAAGTCCTGGGGCAGACTCCAGTTACTGGCATATTGGTTTTTATGTTTTCATGTGCAGAGTTGAAAGCCACTGTTCTGTGTCTACTGCAATGACAGAGCAATGGGAGAGAGATCTTGAAGGGAGATGAGCAGGTCTTTAAAGAATACATCCTTAATTCTAGTTAGAGTTGGGCCAGTTACTAACAAAAAGGTCAAGCTGACCCCCATTAGGACAATTATAGCCTTCACTGTTCCCCTTGGTTGTCTAGGGAAATGTACAAGGCTGGGTTTCACAGATATGCCATCATGGCCAGCTAGCACTTAAATTCTGAATTTGTGTGGAAAGCAAGACTCAGAATAGCCAATCTGATACTGAAGAAGTTTTGTAGTTTTATTAACATTTACACCACAGCTATTGGCAAACGCCAAAACTCATAACCTTTTTTATTTAAACCAGGTAGTTGAGTTAATGGCAAACCTCTGCTCTTAAGTATCTTTGTTTTGTTCATTTGTTTGGTACTTGGGACACAACCTAGGGATGTTTTACCACTGAGTGTGGCTGAGGTTGTATCCTCAGCCTTGTTTATTTTTTTTTAAACAGGTTCTCATTAAGTTGCCTTAGGATTTACAATCCCACTCCTTCAGGTTGTGTTTAGATGGAATATTTATGAAATTTAAAAACAAACTGAGAAACAACCTTATCATAGATTTTATCTTATTCATTTGGATGGAAAAGAGGTTTTCAGTAGGAAAAAAATATATGTATGTAAGAGTTGTATTTCCTGGAATAATTCTTACTTTAGTGAGCAACTGTGCTTAAGTGGTTATGGTTTTCACAACAGACACACTTAGATTGCAAAACCCACCATAGCCTTGTGTGTGACATTCAACTCAGTACAAGTACGTTGGGCAAGTATGAAAATTACAGAGGAAGTATGAGGAGCACGGGGATGACCAAATTCCAGCTTCTCTCTTTCATGGTGAGTATAAAATCCCTCCAAAGTGATAATTTGGGGACATGTTATTCTATCAAGTCACCATTATGTGTACATGGACATTAATTGGCTTGTAGACATCCAAACTCTTGTCAAATGGTTAAGGACAGCATGATTTAAATTTCTTAGAACTTAAGAAGATGTAAAAAATAATGTAAGGAAACTCTGTGTGTGTGTGTGTGTGTGTGTGTGTGTGTGATGTAGGGGTGGGTGTGAGTTAGTGAAGTGAGAGAACAGGAGGAGAGGATAAGTAAAGAAGGCAGAGAGAGAGAAGATGGATAGGGATAGGAATGAAAAACAAGAATAGAGGAATAAATAGAAATATGTGGTTAGAGATAGATGGTTATAAGCAATGAAGTGCCCAACTTATTGCTTAATTCCAGAAAAATTTATTACATGCCATCTCTATTAGGAGCTGGGATACAGCAATAGACAAAATCAAATAAAGCCCTCCTTTACAGTTTACATTCTAGAAGATTCTATGCAGCTATCAAACCTAAGTGAATAACCATCCTACAAAATAATCTGAGAAAGTGCCTATTAATAGGTTTTTTTAAAAGACGAAAGAGGTACATTAAAATTTTCCCTTTTTGTATTTTATTACTTTGACAAATAATAATTTTATTTTTTGAGGTACAACATGATATTTTATTAGGTATATATTATGGAATGATTAGATCAAGCCAGATAATAAATCCATCACCTCAAATCCATATGAGAACATGTAAAATATACTCTTTAAGCAATTTTCAGTTATATGATATATTATTATTAATGTATTTTTATTTTTTATTACTCACTATGCTGTATAATGGATCTCAAAATGTTCCGCCTGTTTAATTGAAATCTTATCTCCTTTACCAGTAAACCTCCACTATCTCTGCCGCCACCAGCCCAGTCTGGTAACCACCATTCTATTCCCTACTTCTATGACTTCAGCGTTTTAAGACTCCACATGCAAGAGACATCAGACAGTATTTGTCTTTTTGCATCTGCTTTATTTCACTTAGCAAAATGTCATTCAGGCCATTCCTGCTGTTGCAAATGACAGCATTTCTGTCTTTAGAAAGAAATACCTATCATCAAATACATGCCATCCATAGATAAATATGTGGCATATATACCACATCTATTAAACACTTAGGTGATCCCATATCTTGGATATTATCAATAGTGCTGTAATGAACATGAAAGTGCAGAAATACCTTCAACATACTGGGGTGTGTGTGTGTGTGTGTGTGTGTGTGGTGTTGGGGCTTGAACCCAGGACCTCACACATACTAAGCATGCATTCTACTACTGAGCTACACCCTCAATACCCCAATGTCCTGATTTCAATTCCTGGGATACATACTCAGAAGTGGGATTACTAGATCATATGGTACTTCTATTTTTAGATTTTTGAGGACTCTCCATAATGTGTTCCATAATGACTACACTAGCTGACACAGCTGACATTTCCATCTGGACCGTACAGTGTTTTCTTCTTCTCCACAGCCTCTCCAACACTTGCTGTCTTGTGTCTTGTTTTATTTTCATTGCTAGGGATTGAACCGTGAATGTTTTAACACTGAACTCACCTAAGGACATTCCCAGCCCTCACCCTTCTCCCTCTCTTTCTTTGAGACAGGGTCTCACTAAGTTGTTCAGGATGGACTTGAACTTGTGATTCTCCTGCCTTAGCCACAGGAGTCATTGGGGTTATAGGAATGTGCCACAGTGCCCAGAATCTCAAGACTGAAAATAAAAATTGAGTGTATCCCTCACTAATCATCAGGGAAATTAAAATTAAAACCACAATGAGACATTCCCACACACTTTTTGGAATGACTATCATAAAAAAATCAAAAGATGACAGACACAGTGGCACACTCCTACAATCCCAGCTACTCGGGCTCCTGGGATAGATTGTTAACAGTATCTCCCTTTTCTTATTTTCTATAGGAACTTTGTGAAGTTTATGTTTTCAGGGCACTCATTTTAAGATTGTCTACTAACTCCACCTTGAAACATTTTTTTCATTAACTAGAAAAACACACACACACAAATGGGACAGGACAAATTTTATTCCCCATTCATAATACTTCAGGAGCATTCCTACTCTCCTCCTGACCTTCACAGAGCAAGGTTAAATAAGGAGGGCCATCTTATCACTCATTAACAAGTGGAATAACAATAGAGTAGGCCTTGTTAGCATGGCTGAGGTAGAAGACATAAGAAAAAGGAAGGCTATATAAAAGGATATATAAAAGAAAATAAGATTTTAATTTCGTAGTCCTGCCTACTTTTTGAGGTCTGTCACTCCCTAAGTCTGTCTCCTTTTCAAACCTATTATTCCCAAGAGAAATCTGGGATATCTATAAGTTTTCTGAGAAGTCTGTAAATCATCCTGGGCACTGATAACTAACCCACTATAATTAGATTGATCAAAGAGAGCCAGGCTATCTTGAGGAACCCATAATTTTGAGGACTTCCCAGCATTATCTATTGATCAGATAATAAAGTCCATGTCAACCTGAGGATCTGGAGATTGACCAGACCACCAGATCCTGTAATGAGATCACCAGACTGATAACATTCCTATATGCCTTCCCAAACCTACTCCTCACCAAGTTTCCTTTAAAAGAAGAGCTGGGACCTCCCTCCCCCAAACAAATATCTCACTCTTGAGATGGCTTACACTCTCCTTTGAATGTATATTCTTTGCTTTGTCCCCAAAGGCATCTCTGTCTTTAGACTGTCCCTGTCATCCCTTGATTGTGTATATGCTTTTCTATATAAACCTCACTCTCTGACTTTAACTGGCGCCATGCTGAAACTCATTTCTGTCATGTATGCCAAGGATCCTGTTGGTCTTAAGTTCTTCCTTCTCTCTGGTACCTCCTTGGGCTCCTCTTCAGGGCACCCATTCTCTTCTGACAAAATGAAATTCTGGAGAAGAAATGAAGGACAAAAGAGAAGTTTGTCTAGAAACTGTTTCATGCAGAAGGTTCTGGGAAGGAACAGTTTCTGTCACTCCTTTTAGATAAGCACAGGACCTGAATGCACTCTTCCATTTCTTCACCAAAGAAAGAAATACTCAGCTTCCCACATACTAAGTGTTACCTAGAGGGAGAAGTAGATCACTGGGGAGCTGAAAGGCAGGGACATGGGTTACAGAAAGACCAGGACACATGACACCCACACAAATGTACTGATTTGCATCATGCTCTGGACTCCCCAAATAAGATTTTCTTCTGTTCTGGTAATCACTAAGGACACACTTAAAGTATTTCACAAATTTTTATTATGATTATTGTTGCTGCTGTCACCAAGGCAGTAAACCATAAAGTAGACCCTCTCCCATACACCTCCCCTGCTACCAATGAAAATTCAGAACATGGGGCTGGGATTATGGCTCAGCGGTAGAGTGCTCGCCTAGCACAAGCGGGACCCGGGTTCGATTCTCAGCACCACATAAAAATAAAGGTATTGTGTTGTGTTCATCTACACCTAAAAATAAATAAATAAATAAATAAATATAAAGAAAATTCAGAACACTGCCTCCATACTTCATTGAAAACTGACAGTGGGTGTCAGTTATGGTTTGGATATGAAGTGTCCCTCAGAATCATATTTTGAGGGCCAGACCCCCCATGCAGCAGTGTATAGAGGTGGGGCATTTGAAAAATGATTGGATCATGAGGGTTCTGACTTCATCAGTGGACTGAAAAATAAATGTAGTACTGGGAGGTGGTGGAAACTGTAGGCAGGTGTGAGTAGGTCACCAGGAGGACTTTATCTTTTCCCTGTCTCTACTCTGTCCTTCTTCCTCTGCTTCTGTGAGCAGAGAAGTTTTCTTCTACCATGCCCTTCCACCATGATGTTCTGCCTCGCTTCAGGCCCAGAGAAGTGGCACCATCTGACCCTGGACCAAAATCTCGGAAACCATGAGCTAAAATAAAACTTTCTTCTTTCAAAAAAAATTATCTATCTATCTATCTATATCTATATCTATATCTATATATAGATATATATATATATATAGATAGATAGATATAGATATAGATATAGATAGATAGATAGATAGATAGCATCAATAAGTTGACTAACACAGATGTCACACAGTAGCAGTCAACACCCACTTTTTACTGTGCCATGGGAAGGAGGGAGAAACAGTGAAGTTGTGTGTGTCCAAGAACTGCATTCTTATCTTTCTCTTCCCTCTGAATTCTCAGTATGTCCCTTTACTTTGATCTGAGACTAGGATACTGACAGTTTTAACATAAGAAGTACTCAAGGAAGGAGAAGGAAATCACTGAGTAAAATGCTACATACCAGAAGTTTCATTTTTCTCAATCTTAAACATAAAACAGCATGTTACTATTTTTATTACCTTTAGTGTACAGGTAAATAAATAGAGGTTCAAAAGTGAATTTCATTGGGTCATATTTGCTAATAAATGGGGAAAACAGAATGCACATCTGAATCTCTTCAATTACAGAATATATATTTTGCCCTGTATATGGTGTGGTGATATGAATTAGACTAGGGTGTCAGGCAAAATCAGAATTCAAAAGCTGGTTTCATTGCTTTCCAATCATGTGATTTTAGCCTGAATATTGTCATCTATACTATGGAGATCAACTACACATACTCATGGAACAACTAAAAGAATTAATGAAATAATGTTTCTAAAATCATAGCATAGCATGTTACATAGTAATTGTGGTAATTGAGTGAGACTACTTGGGCCAACATATATCCAGGTTAAGGGATCCTTATTTAACTTTCATTACCAAGAGCATTCATTCTAATTTTTAAAAAGAGTTCTTTTTTTACTCTTCTCTCTGTTCAAAAATTTATAATTTCCTTGTGAATAGTTCTGCCTCCTCTGTAAAAGATGATTTCTTCATAAATAACAGTTTTGCAAGGATTTGGTGCCTTTCTCAGTCATACAAAAAAAAAAAAAACATATTTGTAGACAGTGATGATAACTCTCCATCTCAGTTTTCCATGATGAATTTTTTTTTTGCCATTTCTCTTCTTTAGCCTGACCTTCTTTAACTCTTATCTATGTATGTTTATCAAATATGTATCAAACATCTTTACAGGGTATATTTCTCTAAAAAAATGACTCCATTCTAAAATGTCAAGGCATGAGAAAACCTCAATTAGGATAGTTAAGTGACATTTTTAGCTTTCATTCTAAAATGTCAAGGCATGAGAAAACCTCAATTAGGATAGTTAAGTGACATTTTTAGCTAGCCATATCCTTTCCTAAATGTTTTTGGTAAATGTGTGTGTATTCATATATCATTTTATCAAATCAGAGATTTTCAGTCAGGAATTTCAAAGTTTAGACTCAGAGATGCCTTTCTTGGGTACAAACTGAGACTTAGACATCAGAATTTCCATGTGATATTTGGAAATTTGAGGAAGTGAGAAGGTGGCTGCCAGATGTGTGGAAAGTCAGCCTGGTGTGGGAGGAAAAGACATCAAAGTGCTTTCTCCAACTCCTTTGCTCTGAAAGGCCAGAGGAGTCTCCTTTAAGAAGCTTCTGAGCCTCATGGACTGTCTTCTAACAGCAGGTCCTTTCTCACCTTTTTAGGTCCATAATGTACACACTAAGCAGATCTTTTTCCTGTTGCGCTTGTGCTCTCAGAAGACTAAGTGGTGTGCTGGAGAAAGAAAGAGAAAAGGAAGGCATGAATTCTGCTATAGGCATTTTCACTCTGGTTTAAATGAATTAAAATGACTTCTACTCATGCAAAAGTTACAAGGCTCATTCTTCAAGAACAGAGCTGATAACACTTGCTGTAAAGCCAAATGCATTTAGACTTAGAAGATGAAACATGGACATGAGAAATTAGCAGGTGAATTACTCTGTAGGCTTGCAAGTCAAGAGACCTGGGCTTTCAGTTTGTCTCTAGCTTTGTATGCCATCTAATTCAATCACTTAATTTATTCTATTTATTTCTTTATTTATAAAGCATGGATTAATTAATCTGTAGGTCTCTTTCCAAAATATGTTTCTAAAACTCCAAGTGGAAAATATGTAAACTCAAGACAGCAAAGGCATCTTTAGGAACCACTTAGTGTTACATACCCATCCTCTGGTAAGGAAAACTGAGGGGTGAGTGAGTCATGGGTCCTGTGGACAAGGGCTTAGGTTCTATGGAGAAAATCAGATGTGCACCAGTGTGCATCTGTGACTTCACAACCAAATGGGCTAATAATACTCTAACAGAGGTCCAAGGGAGGTAAGATAATGGTGTCTGAATAAAGCCATTGATTTTATATATTTTACTTACTAAGGAAGTGGAAAAATTCAAAAGACCTCCCAAACTGATAACTTTACCTTGATCTGAACCTCTATTCGTTACTATTTCAATCTACATACATGTCTCTCTATGTCTCTCTCTCTTTCTCTCTCTCTCACACATATAAGACACATACTCATACACATGCACATACATATATCAGGTTTTACATCACACACAAGATGTATTTAATTTTTTTTAATTAATCCATGTTATCGATGCACTGGGAGAACTCCAGTCTCTAGCAAGGTAAACAGATTCTGAACAATGGAAGTGAAAGGGAGTTTACTGCGTTGGCTCACTGAGATCACAGAACTGAAGGGGAAGCACAAGAACCTGGATAAGAAAGTTCACAGGAAGCAGCTGGCTCCAGGGGATTCTGTGACAACAGAAACCCTGTTGAGTTCACCAGTGAGCCATCAGAACTAGAAGGTGTGAGTTCCAAGTACTCTCAAGACTCAAAATCCTGGATGGCAAAACCTGGTTAGTTTGGATTTGGCTTTGTTGTCACCACTTGCAAGTTGAGGGAGGGCTCCTTGGTTTCTGGTACTCCAAGGTTGCACAATAGGATGTGGTAGGGAACTGGGAGATGTCAATGCCCCAAAAGGAAAGAGAGAAGGGATGTTGAGCAGTCAGTACCAACAAACGTCCATATCACATTCACAGCTCCTGATGCATCCTGTGAAGCTCCTGTGAGCAGTTAATGTGTACCCAGCAGCAGAAGGAAATGTTGGAAAGAGCTGGTGAGGGTGTCAGAGAATCTAGATTTGAAACTTCATTCTCTACTAAGCATGAAAATTTAAACAAATCATTGGCTTCTCTGAGTCTCAAATTCCTAAACTGAAAGAGGCAAGTAGAAGCTGCTAGTTGTGTTGTGGTTGTTACAGTTAAATATATTTGTGATGGAGGTCAAATGGAATATATCAAAAAATGCATTACTTCATAAAGTACTAGGAAAGGACAAGAGACTTCTCAGGTCCAGATTAACTTTTCTTTGTATTAAAATGGCCCATATAAATTGGGTATCATTGTTATCTCTAATAACAATGATAGATTCTTAGATTCTTAGATTGGATTTGCCAGTAGAAGCAGAACTATTTTACATGATTTCTCATTTCTATTCCAAACTTCTCTTAAGGACAGTGATGATAGCTTTCGTTCCCCCTTTACATTTGCCTAATTCCCACTGTCCTGTGTCCAGCTCTTCTGCCTTATTCTTCACAAGACTTTCCTCAGCTCTGCATCTGGATCTCCCTTTTCTCAGGTTCTGCGTCATCTTTGTGTGGACCACTCATCTTGTCACCTGTTCATCCCATATTCTGTAAAGCTATTGTTACTCATTTCTTCGTGAGTCTGGGACTTGTTTTATGATTAGGCAGTGTTCTGTATATACAAGGCACAGTGCTAAATACTTCAGAGATTTCAGGCATGAGTAAAGCAGACCCAGGCCTCAAGAAACCTTGGCTGGGCAGAAAAATGAGGATCATCATTATTCAAAGTAGAGAGAAGACCTTGCGGATTTCTTAGTCTGTTAAGGTTGCTATGACAAAGTCTCAGAGAGTAGTTGGCTTAAAAACAACAAAAAATTATTTCTCACTGTTCTAGAGCCCTGGAAACCCACGATCAGAGAGCTGTCTTGGGTGGGTTCTGAAAAGGACCTCCTTTCAGGATGTAGATGATCATCTTATTGTATCTTCACTTGGCAGAAAGAGGATAAGAGAACTCTCTGGGGTCCCTTTTGTAAGATCATTAATCCCATTCATAAGGGCTCTACTCTCAATGAACATTATCTCCCAGAGGTCCCACATCCTCATACCATCACACTGGGAATCAGGAATTCAATGTATGAATTTGAAGGAGACACAAACATGCAGTCCATTGCAGTAGAGAAGTTAGCATTTGATCATTTACTTCCTCATCAAAAAATCATGTTGAAATTTGGGCAAGTGCCAGGATGAGCAAGAAGGGTTTTCCAGACAGACGGCAACTATAAAAAACAAGAACACAAGCCAACCGCACCTTTCACTTCTTTTGAGCCTACTGCGGAGTTTGGCCTGTGCTAGGTGTGACTGTGAGACCTCAGTAACCGGCAAGTGTATTAAAAAAGAAAGGAAGAGATGGAGGGAGAGAGGGAGGGAAAGAAAGAGAGAGGGAGAAAATAAAAGAAAAGAAAGAAAAAGCAGTCAGGCAAGTGAGTACACACAGAGGGTAAGAGAGAAAGAAATTGGGAAACATCTGTACTTGGGGAGTCAGAGAACTCAATATTGTACTGGGCTTTTTTTAAAAGTAAATCAAGCTGGAATATATCTTCAATGTTTTAGAGTGTTCACAGGACAGAGGTCAGAGTAGTCACAGAGGTAGTTATTACTTATAATTTATTTTATGTCCTGCGTCAGAAAATTGGGGACCTCCATGAGCCCCCAGCATAACTTCCCAAAGGAGAATCAGTAGCACTGATAAAAGGTCACACCTCAGTCTCCTCTTCCAGAGCCTCAGGTAGGGGAGTCCGGGCTCAGACTCAGTACCTTGCCTCAGCAGAACACAAAATAAATCAATCCCACCAAAATAAAATGTGGATCGGGGTCCTGGGCTTCATGTCTTTGTATTCAGGTAGACCTACTCTATCATCATTCTTGCTTTGAAAAACAAGTACATTATTCTCCTTTCCTCAGTAATTTATTCCACTGATAATTTAGCTCAATGACAATTTAGATTTTCTTCTGTCACCAGTTTTTGCCATTTACATTTTAATAAGCCAAATGGCTAAACATTCTGTTTTGAGCTATACTAAATGTACTCACTGCCCAACAAGAGTCTTTATATATGTTTGTCTCTAAATATACACATCATATTTTCCAGAAGGATCTTTTCAAGTTGCTCTGGTTTCCATTGTGACCACTACATTGTACTGACCACCCACCAATTCCTTGTTTTTCATGCATAATAAATCTTAAAGCCACATGTTTCAGCCAACATTTCTGGTAGATACTCCTCCCTTAAGGGGAGGAAATTGGTTATTTCTGCATTATTAATTAGTCATTAGCATAGGCATCTGAATGCATGCAGAGAAACAAATGTTGCAATGAAGTCCAGGTGCTCAAAGAATAGAAAGTTTCTGTAAACAAAATAAAATGGAACAAAAAGATACCCCAGCGAAACCCTATTTTGGAAGGTTTCAGAGGGCATATCTTTGTTAGCCTCAAGCACGGAGACAGCACAAAAATTTCTAGAGGAATTCTGGGCACTTATGAAAATATTCTCACTAAACCAAGAGGATATTTCAAGGAGGAATTTAATAACAACTTGGCAATGACATGGGGGCTGCAGGGCTTCCAACTTAATATTCAAGTTTCTCAACAGTTCAAATATCAAGTGTCCATGATTTACATTTGTATACACCTTGGAGGTCCATAAATAATATTTTTCTTTGACTAGAGTTCTCTCCATCCAGACACAATCCAAGGAAAGCCCTCCCAGTCTTTTTTTTTTTTCCACATCCCCTTTAAATTTCTTTGGATTCTGTCCTAACATTGGTATGATCTGTCTTGATCTTCTTAAGGATGAACCCTAAACATTCCTATTCCAGTTGGCATTCTGATATTTTTCTGATTCTTAACTATTGGAAACTTGCTGCAGATTGTAGATCACTTAAAATCCAATAGGTAGAGCTGATTTCCTAGCTGTTAACAGGATCCTACTCCTAAAAATTACCTCTACTACTATTGCGTACTTGATTGTGTTCTCTGAACTTTAGACAAACACCCGAGGAAGAAGGCAGGCAGGACACTTCTAGTTCTAGCACTTAGTACTAGCTTTTCTAGAACTTTTTAGTTGGACAGTTAGCAGCGCCCTTTGATGGTGGATAGAGAGAGCAAAAGAGCACGAGGAGGCCTGTACCTGAGTGGGTGGGAGAAATGCTGTAAGGGAAAAAAGAAAAAAAAGTAGGAAAGGGAATTTCAGAAGAGAAATCATGAAGGATCAGATTCCTAGGAGCCCCTTGACTGCTACAGCCTCCTGAAGTCTTCCCAGTGCTGTCCCAGTCAGAAATGGGAACAATGCCTCACTCCTAATCAACCCTAGGAAGATCTGGTGCCAGTGTCATGGTATATCCACGTGCTATTTTTTTTTACAAATGTTTAATTTTCTATTTTGTGTACAGATTTTTTTTTAATAAATTTCTCTGATTCTCTTTTATTCCCTACTAATTCATAAGTGGGTTTGCCTCATCCTGGGGCAAGTCATTTTATACAATAGTCCATTCTGGAGTGAGGAGAGGAAGAAGGGGAACAAGGACAGTCTTCTTTCAGGAACCTCTGACCTGAGAGCACCCTGAGGGCACACAGAGGCTGCTTTTGGCTATAGGAAAACCAAGCTCTAAAACCAGATAGCAGCCTGGCTTAAGCAAATAATCTACCTGAAAAGGGCATTTGTCATTTGAATAACAGTGGTAGTCCTGTTTGCATGGGTGAGGTCTTTGTCCTCATGGCAATACAGCAAGACTCTCTCTCTCTCAAGAATGCACTCACTCACTCACTCTCACTTACTTTTTCTGTCCCCAATACAGATGAGTCACCTAAAGCTAAGATTAGTTAAAGAGCAGAAAGTTCCAGGAGTGCTAGAATACTCCACCAGAAAGGGAGAGTTGTCTCACTGCACTTTACTATCAAAAAATGCCCTACTGATCTTTTTTTTCCTAGAAAAGAAGGTCCAGACTTTCTTCCCTACCTCATTTTGAAATTATCACCCTCTTCATCCAGCCACAAACCTCCAGAGCCACTTTTTCTCCTCCTTCATTCTCAGAATCCAAGTTCGCTCCATTCTATTTTGGCAATGTGCAAAACATTCATTTGGATTTAGCAACCTTCCAGAGGTACAAAGCAAGTCCACATCTATCTGACTTTAAAGCAGTATTCTTCATTTTTCCTTCTCATTATTTGAAACATTTTTCAACTTTCAGGTTCCATCTCAAATACAAATATTTTATTCCCCTTGTATTTTTATATCATGTTGTATTTAATTGGTAATGTATTATTACAATTTTTTGTGTCTCTGCTTATGAGGAATATTGGTCTGTAATCTTCTTGTTCTATAATGTTGAGTTGTTTTTCTTTTTATTCTTTCTTTCTGATCTTTGTGTTAAAGTAATATTGGCCTTGGGCTGGGATTTTGGCTCAGTTGTGGAGCACTTGCTTTGTGTGTGTGAAGTACTGGGTTCAATTCTCAGCACAGCAGATACATAAATAAATAAAATAAAGGTCCATCAATAACTAGAAGAAAAAAAATTTTTAAAGTAATATTGACCTCATAAAATGAGTTTCCAACTGTTTCCTTTTCTTCTATTTTCTGGTAGAATTTTTATAGGATTAATATTTCCTTTTTAAGGTTTGATATAATTTGTCAGTGGAGTCAAAAAGTCCCAGAATTTTCTTTGTAGAAAGCATTTTAATTATGAATTAATTTTTTAATTAGCATTCAGATTTTTAAAGGGCTATTCAGATTTGTTTCTTCTTGAATCAGATTGTGACAGTTGTTTCTAAAGAACATGTTAAACATTAAATTTATCAGTGGAAGATTTATAAAAATTTTCCTCTTCATCCTTTTAGTAACCTGTAGAACCCTCTCATTCCTGTCTTGCCAACTTCCGTTTTTTTTTCTTTTTTACTGATTCACCAAGCTAAGTTTTATCAATTCCATCAAATTTTTCCAAAAAAACACTCCTGTTTCACTTATTTTCTCTGTTGTCTTACTTTTAAACATATTTTATTGATTTCTGCTCTTGTTTGTTCCTTTCATTCTATTTGGATAAGGTTTAATTTTTAGCTTTTTTTGTCTTAATTTCTTAAGTCAGAAACTTTTATCATTGGTTCTAGCTCTTTCTTCTGTTTCAATATAAACATAAAATGCTATAAATTTCCCTTTAAGTACTAAATTTAATTCCACAAATTGATAGATCACAAGTGCATTATTATTTTTCTCCATATATCTTCTTCTTCTTTTGATTTCCTTTTTATCCAATGGATTACTTACAACTGTGCTGTTTGATTTACAAATATTTGGGAGAATTTCCAGACATGTTTTTGCTTTTAATTCGAGTTTAATTTTGTTTTTATCAGAGAACACATTCTGTAGGACTATGGTTCTTTTAATTTTTCAGGCATTGCTGCATGGTCTCTGGTCTATATTGTAAGTACTCTATGGCTTGAGAGGTTGTGTTTTATGTTATGTTGTCTTATAGTGTTTTCTGTACTTGTCAACCAGTTGACTGCTCAGTTCAAGTCTTGGATGTTTGTCATGATTTTCTGTCTAGGTTATCAAGTCGTGAGATGAGCTTTGAACTCTTGATGGTGTTAAATTTTACTATTTTTTCTTTCGGTTCTGCCTGTTTGGGGAGCTCTGTAATAATAATTACAAATGTATTTATAATTTTTGCATCTTTTTGTTGTATTGATCTTTTTAAGTTTACGAAATGTCTTACGTTTTCTGTAGGAATATTCCTTGGCTAGAAGTTTGTCTTATATTGTTATATAACTCTAGCTTCCTCATGCTTATTCTGATTTTACCTTGCTTTCTGTTCTTTTTCTTTCAAATTATTTGTCTTTTTTTAAAACTTGTATCTTTTTGAGGGAGCTGAGTCTTTAATAAAAGTTTTGCTTTTACATCCAGTTTGATATTGTCTACCTTTTTTTGTGTGTGTTTAGTCAATTCACATCTAATAAAACTATGTATACGATGTTATTTATGTCTGCAATTTAGCTGAGTTTCAGAAATTTTGTTTCATTTCTGTTTTGTTCCTATACCCTTTCTTTTCTGTTTTCTTTTGTATTAAGCCAATATTTTGTAGTATTGCATCATAATCTAGTATTAGCATTTTTAACATATACATTTCAATTACTACCAGTTGCTTAGAGATTATATCATGTAATTTTGACTTATCTAAATGTTCTTAACTAATGGTTTTCAGTTGCATATAGAAAATTTTGAAAGTATAGTTGCTTATTACTCCATTCTTTGGATAGTTTTTATATATATACATTATAATCCCAATACTATCATAGTATAAATTTTGTTTTAAAGATGCATATATTTTCAAATAAGTGAATAGAAACTATATATAATAATTCATATAACATGCATTTATCCTTTTTGGTAATCTTTGGTCTCTTCTGTATATCTGAATTTCTATGTGGTGCAATTTTCTTTAGTCTGAAAGACTTTCTGTAACATTTAAACAGTGTAGTTCTACTAACATTAAATCTCTCACTTTCAAAAATTCTAAACCTATTTTAGCTTTAATTTAAAAGAATAATTTATCTGATCTATGGATTTCTTGAATAATAGCTGCTTTTCTTTCAGAACTTTAAATGGGGTCATTCCCATATCATCAAGCCTCTGTCGTTTCTGAGGAAAAGTCAGGCATCCCGCTAAGGAGACTGAAGCCAGAGAATTGCAAGTTCAAGGCCCACCTGGGCAACTTAGTGAGACCTTGTCTCAAAATAAACTATAAAAAGGCTGAGAATGTGGGGATATAGCTCAATGGTACAACGCCCCTAGGTTCAATCCCCTATACCCCCCCCAAAAAAAGGTCAAACATCAATCATAATATAATCCCTATCAATATAATATATCATTTTTCTATCAGTGCTTTATTATATTATTGGATTTTCTTTTGTGAATTTGGTGTGTCTGAGTATGATTTTCTCTATTTTCCTTCTATTTGGGTTTTATAGAGCTTAGATTTATAAGTTCATCGTTTTCAACAAATTTAGGAAATTTTACACTACTTTTTTTTTTCTGGCCATTTCTCTGTCTTCTCCTTTCTGATATCTTTTTGTGCTGTCCCACTTGAAATTTTGGCAAAAGTTTTTCATTTTCTCCCTCTCTCACATTCAGATGGAATACTTATTATTGGTCTATCTTTATACTAATTTTGTTGTACCATCTAAAATCGAACTTGATTTTACCATCTGTTTTTTGTTTTAATTAAGATTTTTTTTTTAGCTTTAGAATTTTTAGTTGTTTCATAGTTTCCATTTTGTTAGAATATTTTGCTCAATATTATACCTTTTTCTTGAATTACTTGAACAATTTTTAAGTTTTTTAAAAAATACATATTTACAATACTATTTGGAAGATTATATCTATTATATCTAACCCCTGACCACTTCAAGTTAGTTTCTATTGACAATTTTGATCCTGATTTTGTGTATTTTTTTTATAAAAACATTTTTTTGTTGTTGTTGAAAACTGGACACTACAGCTATTCTGGAACTTATTTTGTTCTTCTGAGAATTGCAGGTATTTTTTTCTAATACTCTGTGACTTGCCTGGGCTGTGAAGCTGCTTCTATGAGGTAGACAGAAGATATCTCTGCTCTGTCTTTTAGTGTTCTATTGTTGTTTCTGGGGGTTTATTTTAGCTGGCCATCCTAGAAGTCAGCATAGCTCAGGAGAAAAAAAAATCCATATGATAAAAGGAATGTGTGTTTGTATGCATGTGCACACATGTCTTGATTTTGCGTGATACAGTTTGATAGCTGATATGCACTGAAAGTTTCTCCACCACATTGCCAATCCAATGGATTGTTTCTGGCAGAGATGCCATATTTTCACATTTCCTCTTTCAGTTTGGTCTTTTCTTGCAAAACATGTTGCCAACAGAGTGTAGGTGCTTCAGAGACATCCAGTCTACAGCAATCTAGTCATTCCAAACAACAGGATATTGGTTTTGACTTTGGAAGTTTATATTTACTATGAAGAATACTGAGTTTTGCCAATTTTGCCAAACACCTTCTATAAAGTATGCTTAATTTCCAGCCACTACAAGATAAATTACAAAGAGAAGGTCTTAGGCAAAATTGACAAAACACATAATTCCAGTTTTACCAAAATTAAGTTAAATTTTCAGTCTCTTACATAGATATATATTTTCACAAAACATAAAATAATCCTGTTTTTTGTTACATATTTTTATTATTTTTATTTATTAGTGCATGATAGTAGTACATAATAGTGGGTTGACAATTCTGCTTTAATGTCCCCAAGGACAATGCCAGACTCCATGTAGCTTTCCTTCTCTGGAACTATGACAAGAGAATATATTCATCTTTATGAAAATGAACTTGACTTCAAAATCCATGTTTCTTTCATTTCCACTATACTTCAGTAGCTATAACATTGTAGGACCAATAGAGATTTTATCAAAATCGTTAGTTTCTGAATAGAATTAAAATGCAATATGAAAGTCATATTATGAAAGTATATTTTTAAAATTAAATATAAATTGATATTTGCATATATTAGAGCTCATAATTCACATTTATATTGAATTCAACTCATCAATTTAAGCAAAGTATTAATTTTTCTATATTATTTGGCATATGAATACTATGGGGAAAAAAAAAATATATATATATATATATATATATATAATTATGAGCATCACAGGACAGAGTAAAATGTGGCCAAATAGGAAAAAATGTGATATGAATTTATTAATAAGTTATCTATAATTTTAGGTATAAATTTATAGTTAAGTTTGATTAGAAGGAAAGACATTTATCTTTTGGGGAAGAATTTTTAATGCATAGAATTGTAAGAATCCTTCGTAGAAACACTGCAGTCAATTCTTTATTTTAATGACAGCTTCTAGTTACTGTTTTGAAGATAAAATAACATGAAAACTTAATTATAATACTTTTGTTAGATATCATAATTACTGTATTTTATTTTATATATCTATGTAAGGCTGCATAATTAATGGGTGTTTTATGTATATTTGCTCTTTCAATTGGATCTAAAAAGGAAACCTCATTACATTATTCAAAAGATGACTTGAATAATGGCTTTAAATTTGAGCATACACACAAAACTTGATCTTTCATTCAGAGATTACCATTGCACTTTCTATGAAATATCTGCTAGTACCTCTTACTAAGCTCTATATAACTTCAAGTTCAGCAAGTGCTGATTTTCCAATAATTAAAAACTTTAAATCCTCAGGTTATTTACTAATCTACATCTGAGTGTTAAAAACAAAGAAATAAAGCAAATAATTTTCTTATTTTTTACAGGAGACAGGAGTCATTTCAAGTATATTTGAAAAATAAATTTAACCATTATAGAAGATGACCTTGTACTGTGTTAATATTTAATGGTGAGTAAAATAATGAAACTCAAACGAGGCCTATCAGGGATAGAAGAATTGTCCTCTGGAGGTACACTGGATTCAGTTCTTATCCAAAGCAACAGCCTATTCCTTGATTTCAAGAGGAAAAGTTTTTTGAGTCTAGCTGATCTGGGAAAGCAAAACCTGTGATCTGAGTTCACTTGGGGAAACCATAAAAGATGGTCATGTGTTCATGGATGTGAATGTTATTAATTTGGGCAAAGATTTTCATGGAAATCAATGGCCATATATAAAAATAGAAATATATAGTCTAACAGTGCAATTCCATAAGTCATAAGTAGTGTTTGGCATTTAAAGTATAGCTATATTAAATTTAACATCATATATGGATGCTAATGAAATAAAAAAGACTTGCTGCATGAATGATTTTTTTGATTCAACCAATAATTTTACAATGATGATGAGAAACTGATCATAAAATTTATGAATACAGTACAAATTAATAAAGAAAAATCAGTATGAGTACTGTGCAATATACTGATAAAAGAAACCTTGGCAATGGTATATCAAAGTGCAATGGCACATCTAAACATATTTCATTGGTTGAATCTATTTGGATTCTAGACATAGTTGCCCATGCCCAAATGCACTAGCATTTTCCGTGTCAAAATATTTTTTTTTCCTGAAACTACATAACTATTAGCAGCTGTCTGTGTGAGAATAGAAGGAGGATTGTTTTTACTTCACTTGAAGATTAATGATATTTTAGAGCTTCAAAAGAAGTTTTTGAATCTGGCTTTCATAGCAGGCACCTCCTTCTTGTCTCCTTTAATTTTATTACCACTTTTAAAACATAATTATTCACTCTGTGGCATATTAAAAATAGTCTACAAAGCAAAGTTTTTATTAGAAATAAGATTTTGCTTGCTGTCAACTCTGCAGAATTCTACCTTTCTCTCTCCTTTACCAGGTAGGATTATAATCATTCCAATACAGTCAATGCTGGCTAATGGAAATGTGGGAAAAGAATGGGGTGGGGAGGTTGAATTGGTTCTATTTTCTTTCAGAGTGTTTGTTTTCTGACTCTCCAAAAAAGATACAGCTAAGTTTAAACTACAATGTAAAATAAATTATGAAATAGTGGAATTGTTATTCACATCTTCAATCCTCTGATCTATTATTAGAGTTAGACCCAGGTGGCACAAGAGTTGCAAACTCATGCTGGAAATAAGCATGGTCTTTACCAGTCTTGTCCTGTTTCTGATCACTCCACTTCCAAAACCTTAAGTTACTGGCCAGTTTTTAACCTTGTGTGTAATTCTAGTAGAACCTGCTCAGACATCTGAGATTGAAACTTTTGAAAATATATATAGTACAACTTTAAAAAGGAATACAAGGTACAACATGGATTAATCTTGAAGACACCATGCTGAGCAAAATAAGCCAGACACACCAGGTCATCCCACTAGCATGAGGTACCTAGAACAGACCAAGTACACAATCACAGAAAGTGAAATGGATGTTACCAGGGGTTGGGGGTGGGAAAGTAGGGAGTGCTCAATGAGTATAGAGTTTCCTTTTGGAATGATGAAAAAGGCTGAGAGCCAGAAAGTGGTGATAGTTGATAACTGCATTGCACACTGAAAAATGGTAAAAATAGTAAATTTACATTATATACATTTTATTCAAACAAAAAGTCAATAAAACTTTAACACATCATTTAAACTATAATTTGAGAAGGCATTTATTTTATTTGGAATGCTCCAATGAAAGAAATAAGAAATAAAATGATTATGTATGTCTCAGATGGCAAATAAATATACAACAGTATGTTAAAGAAGTCTTACCAATAGTCGGGTAACTTCTTATAAATCAAAATCAAGGCTGGTTTACATAGAATTCAGAAAAGGTAGCTTCTGGTGATGGTGATTTAAGGGATTCAGCTCAGATGCACTGAATGCCCAGTTTACCTGGCTTGTATGTCTGTACTGCAGACGTGGAAAGATCAAGCTATGCAAGTTAACCTACTCTCAGTGATCACACCACACCACCAGCCCAAGATCTGTGTCCCTACTCCATCGTGGGTCAGCCAAACCATGAAAATTTGAAATGGCAAGATCTTTTACACCACAATCGAAGGAATGCTGACTACTAACTATTTCCAGGATGGGACTATACACTGAACAGAATCACAAAATCCAACTTGACAGGAATTAACAAGAAATTGTGGCTATTGTATTTTGTTAATGAATTTTGCCTTCTTCACTGAAAGGATCTTTATAGAAAATCTGATCCTGCTTTGAAACTATTATTAATTAAAATAGCTCCTATCGTTTCTAAGCTCCAACTCTGCCAGCTGTGTTATAAACACTATCTGTAAAAATAGTAACAATGAAGCTGAACATCATTTATTCCATGTATAAAGGTGGAATCAGACTCAAAGAGGCTGATCTTTGCTCAAGGCCACCTCTTGACTGAGTGGCAGGGCCTGTGTTTGCATCTCTGCTGCTCTGCCCTGCATTCTGAAGGGTCCCACACTCATTGGTCATTCTGCTAATTCCAGGGCTGCAACTTCTTGATTTCTTACTTTCTGAGACCTCTATTCCCTGGTCAACTTTTTTAAGTGGTTATTCTTTGTGCACCAATTCAAACAAATTGGACACTTCATTGCATTTTCTCACCATTCTCTCTGGTGTAGCAGGCATGCTTTATTTTCAGTCATATTGCTTGGACTGGGATTGTGCTTTCCTCTGTTCCCAATTGTTCTGTCTCTGCCAGATAATTTTCACAATAAAATCAGCTTCTCCAAGACCAGCAGAGAGACCATCTGATTAAAATCACTATTAAAGAAAGGGAAAAGACAAAACTCTGCCAATAACATATCAAATATCCAATGAATAATCAATGACCTAGTTATAAGTGAAGCATGCATTAACTTTGAGGAAAACCATGTTTAAAAAAAGTTTATAACATGAATCTCTGACTAAAAATAACTTGCACAAATTTTCAAGGGGTCAAGACTGTCTTTTCAAACCATTAAAATTTTAAAGTAGCCACTATTTTGTAAAGAAAAATGTGGATTTTTAAACTCTTAACTCAACTTTTTCTTTCTGAAACCCAAAGTTGACAATATATGCAGATTCAGACGTCTAGTAAGCTATTCCTCTGAACACTGATAGAAGAATTTTGTAAACTGTACACATTTAATGGATCAAGTTTTTATGATATTTGCTGGTAGTTCTAGAAATATGAGAAACTAGCTGATTTTGTTTTTCATTTGTTTTACAAGTTCTGGCATAAAACTTGGTAGAAGACTTAGTTATTTAGTAGCATTGCAATAAGATTTAGTGGGATGTTATGGTTATACCAAAAAAAAAATAGCATTGGAAATTGGCCCCCATCACCATTGACATCTCATATATGTTTATATATATATATATATATATATATATATATATATATATATATATATATACTGAATCAAGGTTATTGCATATAGTTGTGCTAAATGAAGAATGTGAGAATCATCTGTCAGTCTTAGAAAATTGTAGTTTTTTAGAGTATAAATTCAATTAGTTTAAAATAATAAAGGTTTCACATACTTTGAAACTTAAACTGTAGCTGAGGTTTTGAGCCTCATTTTTGAGAAACTGGAACAAATGTATTAAGCTCCAACATTTCTAACAATTGACTAATACTCAGTAAACACACTCAATCTTATAACATATTCTTTAGTTCTTAGAGGATCTTTTTTTTTTTTTTTTTACCATTAGTGCACTATTTAACACTGGTTTTTCAAGATTATGTCTGTCTTTAAATATTCATCTTCAATGACACTTGGAGATATCTATAACTGAAGATCAGTGTATGAACCGGAATGCTAATGAGGAAACGAAGAATGACCTAGCAGAGGGAAGTCAAATTTCCAATCCAATGTCTCCTAAATGTTTGCTGAGAAGGAGACTGAAGGTCAAAAAGCAGAATTGCCCACATCATTCCAGAAAGATTCAGAGACCAGAGGTCAAAACTCCCCTGATGTCAGGGCTGAGGTATGCAACTGCTAAAGGATCTACAATGGAGAAACCAGGCCCAAAGCCCCACTCTCAACTCATACACACTAGAGAACCAGCTTCAGTACCTAGGAGAAAAATTGAGGATTGTTTCTGGAGAAACTGAATCAAAGAGGCTCTGGATTCCCTCCTCCAGACTTAGCAGAGGACAGGGCAACAAAATGATAAAAAGACTCCACTGAGGTGACACATCCTTCAGACCAGTCTCTCCATCTTCAGATCCTAAAAGACCAAATGTAGGATTACTAAAAACTTTAAGAGAAAAAAGCAATACAGATTCAATTAGTACTTTTGATAGTCATAGCAAAGCAAATGTGTACTTGGTAGAATGTATAAAAGGCATACTTGGTGGGATTCCTGTTTGTTATTTATTTATTAAGAACCCGAGAGAAACTAAACTGAGTGAAATTTCTTTTTAACAAATTTTGTGTGTGTGTGTGTGTGTGTGTGTGAAGATCCAGATCATCCTGGGATCATTTCACAGTGTACTACAAAGTTGTTCTTTATTGTGTGCTTCAGGGGCATGAAAGCGAAGAATCCTAAGTGTGACATAAGAAACCTGTGTTTCTTATGCAGAACTTGAATTTAGCTTTGCCAGTGTGTCTGTCCTTCCAGATCACTTGTGCTTCCATATGAATTCCAATGACTATCCATCTGTCCCTCTCTGAGTTAACTTTTTTGTTTGATGCTGGTGATCCATAAATATAGTCACTATATTATAGTCACTATTCTAAGATAGTGTGTTGGGACCTATTAGGGACCAAATTCTCCATATGCCCTCTGGATGTCATAATTCCTTTATTTTTCTCTGGAACATCACTTCTGCAATTAGTCTCCCCATTCTATCATCAGTTTCTTCTTTCTTAAATCATGTATGTCCTAGATGCATTTCTCTTCGAAGGGGAAAATAGCTCTACTACACTCCTCTTCAAGAACATTATGTTTCATTGTTCTGTTCTACTTCAGAACTAAATTCATTGTGAAAGTTGAATATGTTTGATTATATCAAATAAATTAACATATCTATCACTTTATGTACTTACCTTTAAAACCTATTTTTTTTTAGAGAATTTGAAATAAATAATACAACAATTCTAACTATGATCACCATGATGCGCAATGGATTTTTTTTTTTCCATACCAGGAATTGAACTAAGGAACATTCAACCCCTGAGCCACATCCTCAGCCCTATTTTGTATTTTATTTAGAGACAGGGTCTCAACAAGTTGCTTAGCACCTTGACATTGCTGAGGCTGGCTTTGAATTCATAATTCTCCTGCCTCAGCTTCCCAAGCTGCTGGGATTACAGGTGTGCACCACTGCGCTCAGCTTGTGCAATAGATCTTGAAAACTTATTCATCTCCCCATTCCCTATCTCTACCCTCACTTAGCTTCTGGTGACCACCATTCTAATCTCTTCTCTAACTCTGATGCTTTAAGATTCTAAATGCAAGTGATTTAATGCAATATTTGTCTTAAAACTAAAAAAGAAGGAAGTTGGATCAGTTGTGGTAACAGGACTGACCCTGGGGGACACCATACTAGGTGAAGGTAGCAAGGCTCTTTTCTCAGGCTGCTCCATTATGGTTTCTAACCTCACCATCCTACTAATGCTACTCCTTAGAAGTCTGAACTACTGGGGAGACTGGCCATATCCAAGAATTTTATTTTCATCTCTCATCAACATCAATACTTCTTCCTTCTTGAAAGGCGTTCCTCTTTTGGCTTCAGTGACAACACATTTTCCTATTGTGTTTGACTTTACTAGTCACTCCTTTTAAGTCTTTCTTTCCATTTCTTCCTCTTTAAGTATTAGCCTGTACAGAGCATGGTCTCAGCTCCCTTCTCTTCTCTGTATGTACCTCTGGATAGTAGTCTGACTCATTTTCAGAGCATTAAAGGCCACTGGTATATTGACGATTCCCAAGTCAGCTCTTGAACTCCAGATGTATGTGCCAGTTACCTAATGGTTATCTGTATTTAGACATCTCTGGGTAACTCATCTTTAGCATGTCCCTTTCTGCCAAACCACCTCGTCTTTCACCCCCCTTATCCATTCAGTTGTTCAAACATAAAACCTGGGCATTCTCTTTATTTCTTCTATTCCCCTAGATCTCCTGCATTCAATCATAATAAATCCCATCATCTCCATCTCCAAAACATATCCTGAATCGTCTACTTCTTTCTGCATCTTCACTATCAATACCCTACTTCAGGCTGTCATTACTTTCCACCAAGACTACTGCAAAAACCTCAGTCGTCATCATGTGTGTCAGGGTTCTCCAGAAAAAAGAACCAATAGAACCCACCGAGAGACACAGAAAGAGACAGATGGATCCATTATAAGGAATAGGTTCATGTGTATAGGGAGGTTGGCCAGTCCACACTCTGTATGCAGCAGAGTAAATACCTATAAATACCTTTATAAGAAGATATATAAAAAATGTTTGGCTAAATGTCTAGGTACCTTGTGGCTCTAAGTTGACACATAAAATGAATCATTACATCATGTTTTCATTATTATACCTTTCTAACCCATCTTCATTGCAGCTTTCAATTGTCAAGTGCATATTTAATACTCTTCCTGTCATTCCACAGAGCTTAAAGTATTCTGACTTAAAAGAATCTAAATAATCTGCCCCTGCCCTCCTTTCCTGTTCTCTCCAGTCACTTTTCCCTTCTTTCCCATGCAAACCCATTGTTTGCCACAGGTAAATCATGTAGAAATAGCAAAGAATCGTGTATGATTGTACCTGTGAACGAGAATCCAGCTACTCATACTGGGCCTACATGATGTCAGGCATCCAAGTGCTTAGATATCTGTCATATGGTTTGGATTGGATAGGAATTGTATCTCCTTGACTCCAAATTTCCAATCCAATGTCTCCTTGACTTCATATTTTCACAGGTGCCACAGTCGGTGTTATTGCAATAGCTTACCTTCTCTCCTTTTACTAGAATCAACAAATGGGACTTACTCAAACTAAAAAGTTTTTTCTCAGCAAAAGAAACAATAAGAGAGGTAAATAGGGAGCCTACATCCTGGGAACAAATCTTTATTCCTCACACTTCAGATAGAGCCCTAATATCCAGAGTATACAAAGAACTCCAAAAATTAGACAATAAGAAAACAAACAACCCAATCAACAAATGGGCCAAGGACCTGAACAGACACTTCTCAGAGGAGGACATACAATCAATCAACAAGTACATGAAAAAATGCTCACCATCTCTAGCAGTCAGAGAAATGCAAATCAAAACCACCCTAAGATACCATCTCACTCCAGTAAGATTGGCAGCCATTAGGAAGTCAAACAACAACAAGTGCTGGCGAGGATGTGGGGAAAAGGGTACACTTGTACATTGCTGGTGGGACTGCAAATTGGTGCAGCCAATTTGGAAAGCAGTATGGAGATTTCTTGGAAAGCTGGGAATGGAGCCACCATTTGACCCAGCTATTCCCCTTCTCGGTCTATTCCCTAAAGACCTAAAAAGAGCATGCTACAGGGACACTGCTACATCGATGTTCATAGCAGCACAATTCACAATAGCAAGACTGTGGAACCAACCTAGATGCCCTTCAGTAGATGAATGGATAAAAAAAAATGTGGCATTTATACACAATGGAGTATTACTCTGCATTAAAAAATGACAAAATCATAGAATTTGCAGGGAAATGGATGGCATTAGAGCAGATTATGCTAAGTGAAGCTAGCCAATCCCTAAAAAACAAATGCCAAATGTCTTCTTTGATATAAGGAGAGTAACTAAGAACAGAGTAGGGACGAAGAGCATGAGAAGAAGATTAACATTTAACAGGGATGAGAGGTGGGAGGGAAAGGGAGAGAGAAGGGAAATTGCATGGAAATGGAAGGAGACCCTCAGGGTTATACAAAAGTACATACAAGAGGAAGTGAGGGGAAAGGGAAAAATAATACAAGGGGGAGAAATGAATGACAGTAGAGGGGGTAGAGAGAGAAGAGGGGAGGGGAGGGGAGGGGAGGGGGGATAGTAGAGGATAGGAAAGGCAGCAGAATACAACAGACACTAGTATGGCAATATGTAAATCAATGGATGTGTAACTGATGTGATTCTGCAATCTGTATATGGGGTAAAAATGGGAGTTCATAACCCACTTGAATCAAAGTGTGAAATATGATATATCAAGAACTATGTAATGTTTTGAACAACCAACAATAAAAAAATAAAATAAAAGTCTTCTCAATTTTTGTGCATTCTGATTAATTTTCTCTAGTGTTACTTTAATTGTGTGACTTCCTTGTCAACGAACTAACAAAAACAAAATATAAATGGTTGAATATAAGTTTTTTTGGTTCTGTATGTCCTAGAGGACCAAGCCACACCTTTCAAATTTTTCACCATTTACCACCCATCAACCTTTCTCTCCCCATCAGCCTCTAGAATCTACCATTACAGACTCTTTTCTCACTTTCCCTACTATATTTTTCTTTTTTTTCCTATATCATTACTAACATTTTTCCACTTGTTCAAATTTTCACTGTGAATCCCATCTATTCTTCAAGACTTAATTAAAATTCTAATTCACTATTTAAGTTTATTCTATAAACAATAACCCAGATGGCTTGACATTGACTTTAGAGAAAACTTAGAAGGCAATGCTTTCTTAATTAATTAATAACTTTTTACCAAGCACCAACTAAATTTCAGGCTATGTGTTAGTTGCCTGTGTTAGGATATCTGTTGGACATCTCAGACTTAAATGTCCAAAACTGAACTCTTACTTTTCTTTCTCCCTTGTTCTTCTGCAACTCAATTATTAGTCACTCCATTCATTCAATTATGGGAGGAAAAGACACAAGAACATCCTTCTTTGTTTCTGCTTTCTTTCATATTCACTATCCAATTAGCAGGGGAACTTAACCTTCAACATATCCTCAATAAAATTACTTCTCACTACTTCTCTTTCTATCTTCCTAGTTAATACCATTCATTGTTGTTTCTTACTTGGATTATGCAACAGCCTGCTAAACAGTCTCTTTGCTCCTACTTTTGAACTCCTGGGACTCTAATTTCTATACAGGTCAGATCATGTTATCTTCTATTAAGAAATCTTCAGTGCTCTGGAAGTGGAGAAAATAAAACCTTTCCTTTACCCTCTCAGGTTCAGTGACTCATGTCTGTGAATTAGACTTAAAGAGACAGATTAAGAGAATAATGTCCTCAGGATTCATGCATACAACATGCATACACACAGAGCCCAGTGACAAATAACTCAAAGAGGTGGTTAGATTTGGGGCTTATATATCATCTTAAGAAATGGTGATGATTTTGTGCAGAATTGTCAAACAAAGGAAAAGGGGTTTGGTTTTCTAGGGGGAAGTAAATTTAGGGCAGGTGTATACATGGCGAGAAAGT